ATAACTAATTTTAATTAGTTATTTCTTAAAACATGTTAATTTTAATTTTTCAACTCTTATTTAAGTTAATTTTTTAATATTATAGATTTACATTCTGTATTATAATTATTTAAAATAATCGAAAAAATTATGATATTTTAATTTGTGCATTCTTAAAAATCCGTAAGAAATTAATTACTGCCGCGCTTTTCCGTAATGCTGATTGGTTTTTTGTTTTGCTTATTTTGTACTGCGAGTCGTTAGAAGATCATGCATTTTGACAATTTGTATATTTTTCACATATGTATATACATACGCAACAGTTATCAGATAAGCAAGTTATAAGTTGTGTAAAAATATTTTATTTTATATTTCCTATATATTTTATATTTTCTATTAATCAATTAAATATTGAAGATGAAAAATGGATATTGAAGTTAATATTATTATTTATGATTTTCTTTATATTAATTTTCTTCATCCTGTTATAGTCAAAGTAGATATGTATAAATTAGTAACACAAATTGATAGACTCTGAATTTTTTAATTGAATTATTTAATTGAAAAACAATATAATGCTAGAAAATGAATAACGCGCACATCTGTAGTATCTAATAATATCTCTAATAATAATGTAAATAATGCTTTTTGAAATTAACTTTCAATTTAATTTAATTCAATTAATTCAACTTTAATGTGACTTTTAATTAACAATAAATTACGTTTATATAATCATCTTAAAATGTAATTGAATTAATTTTATAACAATTTTATTAATTTTAATTTAATTAAAAAAAATTAATTTATCCAATTAATTTATCCAATCTTGCTATAATATTATCAAAAACGCGCCCAAACATTTTCTTACCTAAAACTATTCGTGGTGCACTCGCATCTACGTGTAACCAAAAAGACACCCACGAAACTACTATGATTAATATAGATGGCACATAATAATCCATCATGAAGAATCCCATTTCACGGGCCAATTTAAATGTAATATTTATTGAACTGAAATTGCCAGCTGTAATTATTATGTTATAGTTGTAGTAATAATCCATTTTCGTTTCTTTGGTAAATTAAGCGATAAATCAAATCAATTTTACCAAAATGTCCGTAATGATGTTGCGACGAAGTGTAAGATACCCCAGAGCGATTGACCCACGTATCTACGAGTTTGTATTCCGTCAGATATAAATTATCCGCGATAACAATCGGATCATCATCCCAATCTAACACCATTTCATTCACATTATGAGTCCCTTTGGAAAGAAAAATTTATTTATATTCATGTTACATTATGCTTTCTAAGTTGATTTTCAGTGACATTTTCATCATATACGAATTATTTATTACTTTTCCTGATATTTTATCATCTTTTATTTTATCATTATCTTATACTTGTAATGTATAATTTAGTTTTAATTTATGGAGTGTGTTTTAATACATTTGATATAAATTTTTGTAGACATCAAGATCAAATTGATAAAAATATTGAGAGTATATAATAAAATTTAACAATAATTGCAGTGTCAAACAAATTTGTTCGACATTATCTCAAATATATTATTATATTCGATCTCTTCTTTTTAGGCATTTAAATGTATCTACAAAATATACATATATTTGTATAATTAAAAATAAAAAATTTTATTTTTTAATTTAAAAAATGTATATTTTGATTATTTTCAAACATATTCAAACATGTAACAAAATTTTTATTAGCAAGTATTAAAAATTCTGGAAAATTCATAAATTAAAATATATTAACATAAATAACTTGCTTAAATTAAGTAAAAAAAACGAATCGATCTACACTAATGCTTTGAAATAGACGATATATTATTATTATTATTATTAATGTTGTTGTTTATTGTTAATATATTAGCCGTTAATATTTATATCTGACAAAAAAAGTTAATATTTATATCTGACAAAAATACACATATAAATTATAATATCGATGATATAATAATGGTAACTTACAACTTTCAAATACCAGCGGACATTCTTGTACGTCAAATGGAAATTTCTCCAATCGGAGACCACAATTGAGAGTGGCTTCCAATCTGAAATTTAAACAAATTAAATTTAAGCAAAGAAAACTTAAATTAAGCTTTATAATGAATCTATCCTTAACAAGCCATTTTGAAAATTTAAAATATATTAATATGAACACAAAATTGAAATAAAAATTAATTTACATTTTTCATCGCGCAATTCTTTGAGATTAAATGTCGAATACCTAGTATTTAACATGACCATGCCATAGGAGCTAATGGAGATGAGCAAATCTTTGACGCCGTTCCCCATTACGGCTGAGGTACGCTCGTTGGCGACATACACAGTAGGCGTCCAAATCAATTCATGAGCGTTCTGACCACCGTATATTTGAGTCATATAAGGAGCTATATCCGTAAATTTGAGTCGTTTATCCAGATATCGAAACTGCAGCATTAGATGCACATCAAATTGCTGCAATATATCGTTTATTCCTCTTCTATTAGCGTTCTCTGGCAACGCTTATATACTATGCATTACCTGTAAGACATAGATAGGTATAAGTAAAATTGTAGAGGTACCAGAGTTTTGGCCATGTTGGACTTTATCGTGTAGATAAAAGCTCTGGTGTAAATTCTGATTGGGTCCGTCTCATTAATCACTCCCGGTGGCCTGACCATCTTGTCGTAACGACATTCATTCGCCAACTCCTGTAGAAGTTCAGTTTGTGTCATGGAACTGCCAAATGACGGACAATTTCCCGATCTGTAATAAATTGATTTTTTACTTTAAATATAAAATATAAAATATTAATTGTGTTGTAGACTTTTTTAGATACGTCTAATAAAAAGGAATAGTCTTGAATCTAAAATTCGACAATTTAAAATTAGACAACCATTTAAGCAAAAAAATTATATCAGATAATTGTGATATGGCCTAATTGCTGTTTAATAGTTTTTTAATGATTTTTTTCGAATTTTTTTGAATTTTTTCAAAAAATCTTTAGTACACTTATGTAAATATTTAAAAATATTTTATATTTTCAATTAATGTTAAGAAATGTTTTTTATTTGAAATCTGGCTACCAGTTTTCAATATTGAACTCAATAAAAAGTTAAAAAAAATCGCAACGCTTAAATAAATTATATTATTATCTTTCATTAATTTAAATTCAGTATATAACTGGAATATATATAACTTGAGACTTTTATGAAAAGTAAATCTGAAATATTTAGATTAGAATCAAAGAATAACTAATAATAAATAAATAATATATAATAGATAAAAGAATAACATCATAAAATTTCCAAATGCATCTGAGAAATACATAAAAATACATAAAAAAAAGGTTATATTAATATTTTATAAATAAATTTTCTTGATACGTAATATTTTATATTTTATTAAATAAATTTAGATGTATATGAGATAAATTTATCAAAATTGTGACACAAATTTTTCAGGCCAAAAACATAAAAAAGCTACAAAAGATAATTATCTCTTTCTTATAGAATATTTTTTTGCTACTTTTTTGCTTGTATAATTTGAGACTAATAGGAAAGAAGTGCATGAGTTTCATGAAACTTAAATATGCAGCAGAAATTGTAACAACGTCATTTACGTTTAGCTTTGAAAGAAACTGTTTGAATTAATATTCTAGACCTCGTTTCTTCACGCGTGTTTTCTCCAAGGTATACTCATTATCTCTTTGTATCAATGTAAATGACGCATCTACAAATGACATCGGGCATAGATAATCGTGTACTGCAACTAATTTCTCTACTATTTGATGCGCATGTGACAATCGAAAATTCACAAGTTGATTAATTACATATATTACAATTTTGATCTCGGGATTTTAGGGCGCTGCTAAAAAATAATAAATAATTCCAAGACCATTCCAAGGCCACAAATACTATTTTATTTTTCATGATTATATCGATTCGTATAAAACAAATATCTTGCTAGAAAGTAAATTAACTCCTTCAAGCGCACGTGCTTCATTTGTAAAGAATCTACAAAAGAACGCCGCCGAGTGTATCAAGCTGTTATCTTGCAGTTCTGTATGTTACCTAAATTTATAACATTACATATCGTCAAATATCTTGTTTATATAAGATATATACATATTTACATATCGTCATGGAATTGTATGTACCAA